AGGCCGCACTGGTGGTCCCGGGAGGTACTGCGGTGGACACGGCTGCGCTAGCCTTGGGGGCAGTATCTGGTGGAGATTGGTCTTCCAACGTCCTGGAGTCTGGACTTTCCAGACTCTTGCAGGAGTGTGGGGCTTGCAGGTGTCAGGGCACGTCCCTTTGCTTAGGGGAGTTTGGGGAACAGATTGCTCCTTTGGGGTCAGTGACAGGAGAATGAATGGTAGATGAGGGTGGTCTGCGGTTTTCGTGAGCCGAAGTGAAGATTGTCCAGGCAGCCAGCCTCCCAGGGATGACTTTGGAGTGAAGCCATCTTTTTTTTTTTTTTTTTTTTTTTTTTTGGTTTTTCGAGACAGGGTTTCTCTGTAGCTTTGGAGCCTATCCTGGCACTCGCTCTGGAGACCAGGCTGGCCTCGAACTCACAGAGATCCGCCTGCCTCTGCCTCCCGAGTGCTTCTATTTAAAAGGCGTGCACCACCAACGCCCGCCTAAAACATCGTAATTTGAGTCTATTTTAGGGTGTTGAAATAACATAGATGGTGTACGTTTTTCTTTGGTTTGGTTCTTTATACTTAAGGTTTCTTTCTAGGTGACTGGGCCTTCAGTTAGAGTAGATTTCTTTCAAACTCCTGGGAGAATAGATGTGAGTTTTTATTTATCTGGTGCTGTGTAGTCTAGATTATCTTTTGGTTTCCCCCAGTACTGTGATTGTTGTTGTGAAAGCAGCGTGTTATCTTAGGTTGGGAGTGGAAGTTCCCATGGTAGTGGTGAGGGCTGAGTGACAGCCTGTGGTGAGATGCCTGCTGTTGAAAGGCTGATCCAGCGGCCGTGTCAGGGTCGAAACCAGGAGCTCATAGAAGGAAGGTTATCATTAGGCACATCGCTGTTTTTCCCTGCGCTCCTTGCAAAAATGGATGAAGGCTGTAGTGACCTTCCGGAGGCTCTGAGGTGAGGCCTGATGTGGGTGACACTCCTCCCTTCCCCAGGCAATGCCCTGCTGAGGCGACTTGTTCGCATTGGGGTGCTGGACGAGGGCAAGATGAAGCTGGATTACATCCTGGGCCTGAAGATTGAGGACTTCCTGGAGAGGCGGCTGCAGACCCAGGTCTTTAAGCGGGCCCTGGCCAAGTCCATCCACCACGCCCGAGTGCTCATCCGCCAGCGCCACATCAGGTAAGCTACAGCCAGGCCTGCCGGCCTACTCTACTTCCCTGTCTGCACTGTTGGTTCCTTTGCTAAGCTGCCGTCCCTATCTCCTGTGCAGCCTTCGGAGCTGACAGATCTGAGCTTACCCTGAGGGTTCAGAAGGAAAGCTTGTGGGGGAATTGGGAACAGCCTTGTCTCCCCATAGCCCAGCGCAAGTGTCACTGCGGCTCAAGCCGTACACCTTGCGAAGGTCTCTGCCAGGCATGCCAGCAGCTGGACAGGTAATGGCTCTTGGTGCCCCCGTGGAGGGAGAGGATTGAGTCGATGCTGTTGGGGTGGTGCAGCTGTCATTGGAGCTTGGTGTCGGAGCTCCAACCCAGACCCGCACTGCTTTATTCCTATTTGTTAATGTGCCTGGCTGAAGTGACTGGGGCAAAGACTAGTTAGGGTGAGTGGAAACTGCCTGTTTTTCTGTAAATGATCACGGATCGTGAGAGCTGAACAGGTATAGGCTCAGGTTCTCACTCACCACCTTCATCTCTGGGCACAGATGTACTCTTGATGTCTGAGGTGGTTTGAGGCTTACTACTCAGGATCAAGCATTTGTATGGGTTCTGTGGTTTCAAGACTACCCATGAGACATCTGGGTCTGTAAGGTCAGGAGTGCTGTCAGCCTGCTGTCAAGGACAGGACCAAATGGTTCAGCCTCTCACCTTGTCCCTTTAACCTGTTGCTGTTCAGGGTCCGCAAGCAGGTGGTGAACATCCCGTCCTTCATTGTCCGCCTGGACTCCCAGAAACACATTGATTTCTCCCTCCGTTCTCCTTACGGTGGTGGACGCCCAGGCCGCGTGAAGAGGAAGAATGCCAAGAAGGGCCAGGGTGGTGCTGGAGCTGGTGATGACGAGGAAGAGGATTAAATTAATGCCTCCCTGGACTGGAGAATTGTCTAGATTTCCAGTTGACTAATAAAACAGAATTCACACTTGTACATTGGTGTCTCTGTGGGGGGGTGGAGAAGCCCTGCCATAATTAGGCCAGGCTACTACACAACGCGTGTGATGATGTTCCCAGGAGAGGAGAAACGTGGCTGACCACTAAGGTTGGTCCTTGCTTAGTTTACAGCCAAATGGTCTCCAATTGAGGTTGACTGGTTGTGACCTTGCAAGGTTTTGTAAGTTGTGTCTCAAGATGTGGTTTTGGTAAGCAGGAAATTAACTGGTGAGCCCTTTTGTCCAGTGCTGCAGCTTAAGGTTTTTTCAGCTGAGGTTTTGTACTCATGGTCAGGAGGGAAGCTGGCTTCCTCTTTCTGTTCTGCCTTTCTGGGAAGTCTGAGTCAGATGGGAAGATGTGGTTTGATCTCTGAGGAAGTGAGAACCCCCTTGAAATTGAAAAGCAACTGTCAAGGATAGCTGCTTTGCTACTGTGTTTCCAGTCCTTGAGAGGACTCGGGTCAGTCAAGTCAGCTTCAATGCAAGAAAAGACTACAGCCTGCCTAGAATCTGTAGGCAATGCAAGTGGCAGGGCCCGCACTATCCTGAGGGCACAGCTTGTAGCAATGCCATGGGTTAGGTTGGAGTAACCTCTGCAGGAACTTGGGTAGGTTGTCTGGAAGCAACTTCCAAAACAGTCTCTTATTCAGTGGCCTCTAGCCAGCATGGGTTTATCAGAGCTGAGTCTGGTAATCTCTGGATTCTGCTAAGGGCATGGGCCTTCAAGATAGCTGATCAGAGTCCCTTACTGATGAGTAGATAGCAGCCAGTGGTCTTGCAATACAGTGCGGGTGGAGGTAAGCTTGAGGGCTTTGGGTTTTTTTGTAGGACTTGGGGTATTTCCTTGGTTGTACCTTAGTCCTACAGCCAAGGAGCAGTTTATGTCTAAATACCTGTGATCCAGAGAAACTGGTGAAGGAGTTTGTAGTATTAGGAAGAAGTTGGTGCTAGAAAGGTGCTTTGGTGCTTTCAACAGGAACCAGACTCCATACACTCACCCCTGTTAGATTGCAATGCTAGGGCGGAGCCCCCCCATTGTCAAGTTGATTTCACACAAAGGTTAGTGTGACTGAGAAGAAAGCCGAAGGTTGCTGTGCAGTTGAGACCCCTTCTGAATCTGTGGCCCCATAGTACAGGACGCTGTGGAAGTAGTCACCAGAGGTAAGGAGGACCCAGCATCCTGCAGACCAAAAGCAACCAGACTTGACCAAGAACAATCAGTATGAAACTCATCTGCCATCCTTAGCACCAGGAGCCGCTTTCCCTGTTACACCCACTTACATTGCCAGTCCACTCCTCCCTCTGCACAGCTGCTCCAGGATGCAGGGTGGCAGTGGAATGGGTGTGAGCAGTGGTGGGAGTCAGGACTTGTGGGTACTTCTCAACAGGTTCTTGTCCTTGGATTTGGTCTCAGTAAATGCTAAAGGAATTTGGAAGTCACCCTGGAGCCTTCCTAGAGAACTGGAAAGATGATCTCCCCAATTGGGAGTTAAGAGGGAGAGTCCATAATGGCCACAGTATGAAGTTAAAAATACACAAATTTAGCTTCTCAATAAACCTAACCAAGGAGGTTAAAAACCCACAGTAAACAATGTTAAACTGAAGAAACATTCAAGGATGACTCAATCTGCAAAATTGTGCTGTGCAAGCATGAATCTGTCCCCCAGCACTCACTAAAAGCTGGGTGCTTGCAGGGGAGTGGGGGAGGATACATCCAAAGTATTTTGTGTGAAGTTAGAGGCAGGATATCCCTGGAGCTCACTGATCAACCTACCCAAATCCATGGGCTCTGGGTTCAGTGAGAAAACTTGTTTCCCTCGTCCTTCCCTCCAGAAAGGTACAGAACCACTGATAAAGGCATTCACTGACCTTTGACTCCTCGTGCACATGTGTTCAAACACGCACAACACGTGAAGCTGGAGACAACAGAAGATGGGAAATTTTTCTCTGTTCGTGAGTCAGCAGTGTGACAAGGCTATATGAACCAAAGCAATGCAGAGATGCAGAACAATCTCCATGAACCGGAAAATACTAAATTGGATATGGTGATGGATAATCTCTCATCCCAACATTCTGAAGACCAATGACTGAGGACAGTCTGGTATAGTTCCTTCCAGGTCAGTCAGAGCTACACAAGGAGACGCAAAAGACACAAATAGAGCCATAAACCTAAGATAAATATGAAAAACCAAACTCCTCCCCTATGGAAATCAATTGTAAACAGTGATGGTGGAGGTATGAACATACCCAACTTCAGATTAGAAATCTGCAGTCAGCAGCATCATTGGCACAAAACAGGCACACAAAACAGACAGCTAGAAAAGAACTCAGAACTGGGCAAGGTTACACAAGCCTGTGAACTAGACGTTTAGCAGGTGGAGCAGGGTGGTCAGAAGTTGAAGTTTAATAGCAAGTATGTCTGATGTCTATCAAACAATGAAGAGAGAGAGAAAGGACACAGGGCCGAGAACCTACCCAGGAACAGTCCGTGCCAGGCAAGTGCTGTCCCACTGAGCTACATCCCCAGAACTTTTACCCTTTATTTGGCGACTGTATCTCCCTAATTTGTCCAGAAGGGCCTTGAACTCATTCTGCAGCTAAAGTGGACTTTGCATTTTATATTGTCTTGCATCAGCCTCCAAAGTAGCTGTGGTATCAGGACCATACCACCAGGCCCACCAATGTTTAAGTTTTAAGCCAGTCACTGTCTTTGACGCCAATATTAAAACAAGCAAAACAATATTCAAAAAAAAAAAAAAAAAAGCCAAACTACCTACCACCAGTGTGGTTGTGATGTCCTTAAAATTGTTACTGAACGTTACTTTCGGGTTATTTATTTTTTGTTTTAGCATCCCAATCAAAGTTTCTCCTCCCTCGTCTCAGCTCCTCAAACCTACCCAATTCACTCCTCCTCCTCTGTTTCTCTTCAGAAAATGGAGGGCCTCCCATGCATATCAGCCAGCCCTGGTGTAGCAAGTTGCAGTGAGAGTAGAATAGACAGGCCCCTCCTTTTCTGTTAAGGTTGGATGAGGCAATGGGCCACAGAGTCAGACAGCCCCGATCCCCCTGTTAGAAATTCCCTAAGAGGACCAAGTTACACAAATGTAATATATATGCAGAGGGCCTAGATCACACCTAGACTGACGAGAAAGAACTTTCTTGCTAGCTTTTCTTTGTCAGGTTTGTTAATAATTATTTTCTGGTTTGATAAACTATATTGAGTTATTTCCTCTTTTTCTAGTTTCATAATGTCTTTATTTCAAATGCGCAAACATTTGAAAAAAATCACCAACTTCCAGGAAGAGAATTTCCAAAGGAGAGCTTTTCTAGTGACTGTGTTCAATGCATGAGAAGTCACTCAGATTTTGTATTTAAGTTTTTGTTTTCTTTTGTGTGTGGGGGTGTGTGTGTGTTTTGAGACAGGGTTTCTCTGTGGCTTTGGAGGCTCTCACTCTTGTAGACCAGGCTGATCTCGAACTCACAGAGATCTGCCTGCCTCTGCCTCCCGAGTGCTGGGATTATAGATGTGTGCCACCAACGTCCAGATCTTTTCATTTCTTTAAATAACATTTTTTTTCATTTGTTTTACATAACTATTGTTCTGCTGTTAATACATTTTGAAAGAATGTAGGAGGCTGGGAAGGTATCACTGTGGTTAAGGGCAGGCACTGCTATTGCTGAGGACCCGAGTTCAGTTCCCAGCCCCCACAGCACAGAGCTCACACCTATAACTCCAGCTGCAGTGTCCACTCTGGCCTCCTTGGCATCTGTATATACATGGCATGAAATCACACAGACACATAAATAAAACACAACAAACCTTAAAGAAAATAAGGTGAATATATGGTTGTAAATGCCAGGAACCAAAGCAGAAGGACAGCAAGTTCAGTGCAGTCATGTTGGGATTACAGGCCTACACCAGCTTACCCAGCTTTCATTTGTGATTATTATTTTTTTTTGCAGATTTTTTATATTAATTAGAAACACGATTGTTTTACATGACAATTCCAGTTCCCTCTCCCTCCCGTCCTTCCCTACACCCCCCCCCTAACTAAAACCCTACCTATCACATATCCTTTCTGCTCCCCCTGGATGGTGAGGCCTTCCATAGGGTGTCATCAGAGTCTATCGTATCCTTTGGGATAGGGCCTAGTTCCACCCCCGTGTGTCTTGGCTCAGGGAGTATTCCTCTATGTGGAATGGTCTCTCAAATTTCTGTCCTGTGCTAGGGATAAGTACTGAACTATTGCAGGAGGTCCTGTAGATTTCTGAGGTTTCCTCACTGAAACCCATGTTCC